TAAAAATAAAATCCACGTGTCCACCAGGTGTTGCTGATCTGGCAGACACGTGGCCTCCGTGCGAGCCACGCGGGCGTCTCCGGTGCCGGAGAACTAAAACAACGAAAATTTTTCAATTATGGGACTAGTTTGCGACAGACTCCACTTACGAGACTAAAAAAACAGTTTACCCTATATTATATTATTTGTTGAGTTGTTTTAGATATTTAATTTTAGATTTGAACAATAATATTTATATTATTTCTTGAGCTATTTTAGATATTTGATTTTAGGTTTAATATATTTATATATAGATTTGGTTTTATTCATAGATTAAATTATTTAGATTTGAGTTTATCGAATCTGTTTTGTATTGCTTATATATAAGCCCCTTGTTTTGATGATCAATAAGACAATTTTATTATTTTCCCCTCAAAATTTCTAAAAGCCATCAATCATCAAAATAAAATACTCTCTCCGTCCCGGCTACAATGTTCTATTTACTATAGACACGATAATTTAAAATAAAATTAAAATAATTATAAATTTAAAAATTTAAAATGAGATTAAATTGTATAATTTTTTTCCATAAAAATAAAAGTGACAAAATAAGTTGGATAGACGAAAATGAAAAGATGAACACGATAAATGAGACGGAGGGAATAATATTACTTAATGTAGAAAATGAGCCGAAAATGAAAAGATGAACATATATTTTCTCCAAAATATTAATATATCACACATATTTATTATTTTTATATTTTCTATATAATTTATCATATCACACATGAAAATTTGCACAATCAAATTATAACACAAAACAAACACACTCTGAATCATTATTTTCTCTTAAAAAAACAGAAATATAAAAAATACCAATATTATGCCTTTATATATATACATATATTTTTAGTCCAAAATTCAACATTAAATAGAAAATGAAAATCATGTTCTTAATCTAAAAATTAATATTTTATATTAAATTATTAATTTTTATAAATAATGTATTAAAAATATTATATATATATATATATTAAAAATAAGAATTATGTTAACACAAGGCAGATAACTTGAGGCGTCAGGGGTTTGAACCCATGATCCGATGATTTATAGTACACAATATTTGGTATGAGACCAAATGTATTTGGCACTTGTTTTATAATTTTTATGTATTGTATTTATATATAATCATTTTGTATCATTCATAGTTATCATTTTTATCCTTCCTATCGAACTGTATATACTTTAATTATAATACAAATAATAATATATTAACATCAAAATATTATTAATATTTTTATATAAATTAAAAATTTATTATTTTATTATTTTATATATAAAATACTATTAAAACGTTTATCTATACTTCCGAATTAATAATTAATACGTAGAGCGGGATTGAGGTAATACTTAATACGTCGAATTCATATGTAGGATTTGATATGGATGTATTTGTTTTGTATTTTTAGATTAAAAATAATTTTATGTTAGGTATAAAATAATATATTAATAATATAAAAATAATATTTTATATTGAATTATTTTTTTTAAATATATAAAAAATATATTATCTATTTGAAAATATGTATATATTATAATATCAAATAAAAAAAATTATTATTATTATATTTTTTAACGAAGAATATATCATAAAAAAAACACAACCAAACACACACAGATTACGGTGGATGATAGTGGCGAGGAGAATCAGGATCAGCATATGCTCAAGCCTCAAAGGTCGATAAAAAAAAAAGGGTGGATAATAATATATACTCCCTCACTGCTATGTAATTTGTTTTGCATAACGTATATATGAAATTTTAGAAATGATATAAATTATTTAATAATTTAAAAAATATATTAGTAAAAAATAATTATATATTTAAATTAATATAATTAATAAGTCTAATTAATTAATTTTTTATTTACATTCGAAACTTTTTATTTTTAATAAAACTAGTTTAAGTTAATTATAAATGTATATATATATTTTATTTATTTGCATGATATAAAATTTTATTATGTATAAAATAATATTCATATTGTATATATCTTATTGAAATATAATATTAAAAATATTTAAATATATATTCTAATTTTTGTAATCATATATATTAATTTATATTTTTAAAATATTAATAATACTGTTTATATAAAAAATAATAATAAAATAATACTATTTTCGTCGTATTGGAAGGTTGTCGTTTACATTTTGCACGCAAAATTTTTAATATTAATATTATATTGGGTTGTAGTAAATACTCCTATTAGTATTGTGTAATACTCTATTCGTCTCATTAAAAGGTTACCATTTTCTATTTTTGTCTTTCATAATATAATAAATACTCTTTCAACTTACAATATATTACACAAATGCTATTATTTTTATATTACACCATATTAACAGGGGTATTTTTGTATTTTTCACTACAATTCAATATAATACTAATTTTAAAAAGTCTACGTACAAAAAGCAAATGTCACCCTTCCAATGGGACGGAGGGAGTATAAAAGTTATGAAATTTGTGTAATATATTATAAGTTGAAAGGATATTTATTATGTTTGGTAGGTAGTATAATTACTAAATTAGGAAATAATAACCTTGTATTAGGACAAACATAAAAAAAAAAAATGATAACCTTTTAATGAGATAGAGGAAATATTACAACTTATTAATAAGTTAAGTTACCTAAATAACCGTGTCTGAAACAAATGAGTCATTTGTTCCGAAACGAGAAAATATCATTTAATTTTTATATAAATTACAAACATACAATTATACAAATATATGAAGTAAATAAAAATATCAAAATCATCTAATATATTTTCAGTAATTAATAAAATACTATTAATTATTGTAATTATTACTTCCTTCATCTCACATTTTGTATCTGATTTACTGTTAGATATGAATATTTATGTATAATATATTTAGTAAGTAAATTATAAATATTTTAGTAAAAATAATTATTGTGTAACAAAAATTAATTATAAAATAAGATTAAAAAAAGGAAAAAAAATTATTTTTGGTCTCAATATAATAAAAATTAATCAATTTTGGTCATAATATAAAAATCTTATCAATTTTGGTCCAAATATAACCAAAATTCATCATTTTTGTCACAATATAACCAAAACTCATCATTTTTGTCCCAATATAATCAAATCTTATCTTTTTTGTCTCACCGTCAACAAACCGACGAAAAATGCTGATGTGAAAATAAATCAAACCTTATATTTATAATTTGAAGAAATTGCACAATCTTGCAAGTCCACGTCAGCATTTTTCGTCGGTTTGTTGACGGTGGTACCAAAAAAGATAAAGTTTGATTATATTGGGACCAAAAGTAATGAGTTTTGGTTATATTGGGACTAAAATTGATAAAATTTTTATATTGGGATAAAAAATGATGAGTTTTAGTTATATTGGAATAAAAAATGATGAGTTTTTGATTATATTGGGACCAAAATTGATAAAATTTTTATATTGTAACTAAAATTAATGAATTTTGGTTATATTGGGACCAAAAATGATTTTTTCCCATTAAAAAATTACTCCCTCTTGTCATACTTAATTTGTCAATTATTTCTATTTCCGTTAGCGATCAGTCCCACATAATTTGTCATTTTTTTTTTTTCTGAAAGTATATTTATATATTTTAATCATATTTTAAAATTTATAATTTATAATTTTTTTAAAATAAACTATTTAGTTATCTTAATTTTAATATATAATTATTTTTATTAAATTATAATTATATTTACTAATACATTTTTTAATATTTACTAATTACCTAATAGCTAAAACTCTGTGCCTAAGTAAAAATGAACAATTTAAGTGGGATGGAGGGAGTATAGATTATGAAATTTAAAATGTAATTAAAATATACTCCCTCCTTCTAACTCTAAGACTCTCATTTATCTTTTGTGTTATTATATTAACATTAACATAATATTTATATTTGTATATTTTTTGTACAAATGTCATGATAATAGTATTATAAGACACTAATATAAGTATTTTTGTCATTTTTTTTTTAATTTGTAATATGTTTTCATATAATAATTACTCTATTCGTCTCACCTACCATGTCCACATTGTCCTTTCTGTCCGTCTCACATCCCATATCACTTTTATTTTTTGGAAAATATTTACACATTTTAATCTCTTTTTAAATTTTCTAATTTATTTTTTTAATTTTAATTAAACTAATTAGTTATATTAATCTTAATTTATAATTATTTATATTATAGGATAATTATTTTATTAATATATTTTTAATTATATACTAATTATACTTATTCTAAATTCTCGTGTCTATAGTGACCCAGACATCCAATGTGAGACGAAGGGAATAATATTCAAAGATTAACATGTAAAAAAGTAAATAAGACCATTAGAACCGGACGGAGGTAGTATAATTATATTTTTCTAAAAAAATATTACAAATAAGGTGAAATAAAAATAGTAGAAAAAAAAATGGGATGAAGAAAAAGAAAAATAAAAGGTTATAAAATAAAAATGGAAACAACACGTATCATCTCATTTTAAAATTTTTAATTTTAATTAAATTAATTAATTATATTAATCTTAATTTATAATTATTTATATTATATGATAATTATTTTTACTAATATATTTTTAATTATCTATTAATTATACTTATCCTAAATTCTCATGTCAATTATTGACCTACATATCCAAAGTGAGACAGAGAAAATAATATTCAAAGATCAATATGTAAAAAAGTAAATAAAATCATTAGAGTCGAACGAAGATAGTATAATTATATTTTTTTAAAAAAAAATATTACAAATAAGGTGAAATAAAAATAGTTAAAAAAAAAAATGGGATGGAGAAAAAAAAAAAAAAAAAAGTTAGAAAATAAAAATGGAAACAATGCGGTGCAGTGCATACGTATCATCCATTAGGCAGGCGGCAGTGCACGTTACATGTGGATTCCACAACCCCCCCACCCCCCACCCCACCCCCACCCGCACTCTCCTTCTTTATTCCCCAACCGATTCTCAATTCTCATTCTCATTCTCATTACAATGCATTTCACTTCATTTCATTTCATTACAATGTTGGTACTCCCTTACACAACCCAAATCCAATAAATTAATTCATTCGCCCTACACGTTTTCCATCCTCCTCCTCCTTCATGTGAAGAATCTCAACTTCCTCCTTTTCTGCGCTCAATTTCTCCTCAATTCAGGTTTCCTTTTAATTTCCTAGCTACCTCTGTGTCCTAACCTCAATTTTCCATTATTAATGTGTTCGCAGGTTGTTTGATTTGATTTTTTTGTTTGTTTCGGACATAGAGAGAGAGAGAGAGAGAGAGAGAGAGAGGAGCGTCGGAGGTGAAGAGATATGGCGGCGGAAAAGGAGACGGCGGCGAAGCTGGAGAAGAGCTACTTCGATGTGGTCGGACTTTGCTGCTCGTCGGAGATTCCGGTGATCGAGAAAATTCTTACCTCGCTCGACGGAATTAAGGATTTCTCGGTGGTTGTCCCGACCAAGACACTCATCGTCGTCCATGACTCCTTACTTACTTCACAGCTTCAAATTGGTAATATCCTTTTTTCTGCCATTCCTAACTTCACTTCACTTTACTGCTGCGCTCTTCTCTCGCTTTATTTATTTATTTTTTTATTCTAAAGGGGAACTTGTCTTTTTGCTTAACTGCTTATGTGTTTTTTCTATTTTTGAATTAAATATGAATGAGTATTGTTTTTTTATAAACATTAAATAATCATAAATTATATTATAAAATTAAAAATAACGAAAAAAGGAAAACGACGCTTCCAAGTTATTTACACATTTATATACTTTAGATTTTTCTTTTTTTTTTTTTACTGTTTTGTGTTAGTTGGTAGTTTATTTATCTGATTAATAAGAAAATATAATAAATATATAATTTATTTATTTATTTTTTTAAATATTGATGATCGACATAATTTAGTAGTAAAAATTGGCCGGGTGTATTTGTTTGGGGGATTGGATTTAATTTTCACTGTTTATCCCTTTTTTTTTTCCAAAAATATCAAATCAAACACTTATTTTTTATTTTTTATATTATACTAAAAATTAATTTTACATTCAAAACATTACATCAACACCTGTTTATATCACATCATACAACTATTTGAATTCAAAATTTTTGCTATTCAAATCTCAATTCAAAATCCAAACTCGGAAACAACACAAACACACCCTTAGTACTTTCAAGAAAACAATTGCTTACAAAGTTGGTCTTTCATTTTTAACAGTCTAACAAAAATGCCAATACGTGTACTCCATAGTACAAAGAAACAGACTTACAGAGCATATGAGTGTGTTTAGATTTGTTTTTAGTTAACATATATCCATCTTTCCATAACCATAACTATAGTATTAATTGAGTTGGATACAAAATTTATAAGGAATATTATATTATATTGATAGTTGGTAAAAAAATAGAGATAAAAGACTTTTTTGCTCTGGTGAGTGTATTAGTATAAAAAGTAGTGGTATTTGTATTATAATAATAAAAAAGTTGGATAATTTTATGGTGAAAAAAAGTGGGATAATTTTATGGTGATATGAGTATTTATGAAAATGAGACTATTATTTTGGGACGGACAAGAATGGTAAACAAGACTATTGTATTGGGACGGAGCGAATATAATATATGGTGTGTTTACCTGTGAGATTTGAGTTTTGGTTTTGATTTTGAATAGTAAAATTTTAAATTGAAATAGTTGTTGATGTGATATAAATATGTATTGATGTGATGTTTTAAAAATAAAATTTAATTTTAATATAATATAATAAATAAAAAATATATGTTTAATTTAAATTTTTCGAGAAAAAAAATATTGAAATAGTAAAACAAGAAATCAAATAACAAGTAAACACACCCATAATGTTTTTATAAGATAAAAAATAACAATATAATGTGAGGTTTTTAAAGTAAGAATAAAGTATTAAATAGCAAAAGAAAAACACATAAAATAATATATTTTGAGTAGTATATTCTTTTTGAGTTTCTTTTGATTGTTTTATACTCCCTTTTGATTGTTTTATACTCCCTCCGTCATTCAATTGTGTGTTTGTTTAACCGAAGATGAGTTTAAAAAATAATAATAATAATAAATTTTTTTACTGTTTTGGATAAAAAAAAAATAGAAAAATTGGTACAAGAATAAATTTGGATCACAATAAATAAAAAAAAAAAAAAAAAAAGAGAATAGATTTGGAGCAGAGACAGAGTATAATTATTTGATTATTTACAAAAATAAATTATTTTATTCAATAAAATACTATCAACTATTCAAAAATAAAAACAAAATTGAGCTCCAAAAGAATACATTTATATTACTTGTTGTTTTGTATTGAATGTTTGAAATTACTTTATAAAATGTATTTTTAAAAGAAAATTATAAAAATTTGATATAAATGTATTAAATCTATAGGAAACTTTAAATTAGAAATAATAGAAAAAAAATAAAAATTTGAACATGGTATCAGCTTTGTTTACTTTACCCATTTTAACTAATACATTTTTTTTTTTAATATACAAAGTATCACATCAAATATTATTTTTTTTATTTTTATTTTTTAACTTTTAAAATTTTAAAAATTTCTATCTAAACAAAGTCAATGAGTGTGTTTATTTATGAGTTTTAGTTTTTGGATTTGGATTTTTGAATAACAAAAAATTGAATTTGAATAGTTGTTTTTTTATATAAATAGAGATTCATGTGATGTTTAGAATATAAAATAAATTTGTATTATAATACTCCATCGGTCCGGCTCTAAGAGTTTCATTTACCTTTTGGTACTTAACATTAAAAATATCATTATTTTTGTATAATTTTTTTACATAAATATCATTATAATAGTATTATAAGACACTAATAAAAATATTTTTACTATTTTTTTTAGTATTTTTTTATTTAATAATTAATATTCAAATATCATAGAAAAATCCTTGTTTAATTTGATATTTTTTTTAAAAAATAATTAAATAATAAAAACTAAAAAAAGTCATATATATATATATATATATATATGTAAATGTGTGTTTGGCAGTTAAGGCGCTGAACCAGGCACGGCTGGAGGCGAACGTCCGGCCACGCGGCGGCGCCGCCTACAAGAACAAGTGGCCGCCGCCGTACGCTCTCGCCAGCGGCGCCTTGCTGCTGCTGTCGTTCCTCAAGTACTTCTACCGCCCGCTCGGCTGGCTCGCCGTCGGCGCCATCGCCGTCGGAATCCCGCCGGTCGTTCTCAAGGCCGTCGCGGCGGCGCGCAACCGGAGACTGGACATCAATGTGCTTGTCCTAATCGCAGGTACGTTCGTAACGTAAGTAATTTTGTTTTAACTTTAAAAAATAATTCGAAGTTTCTTTGAGGCTGTCGTCTTCCGACCGGTCGGCGGCGACTGCGACGGCGACATCCTATAATGGAATGTGACGTCGGCGTCCACTGTAGTTTTGGTGCTTTTTGTTGGGCGCTTTTGTGGTGGTAATCTTTTTCTCTTTTGTTAGGCTGCAGAAAAAAAAGGAAGAGGGCTCCTTTTTTAATAATAGTCCCTAAAGTGTCCATATATTGCACAACCGTCCTCACGGTTTCAAATATGGAAATTTAATGGGGCTCCTTTTCTTCATAATAGTCCCTATAGTGTCATTACATACTAGGGATTTTTTTGGGTAATCATCCCTAGAGTGTCAATATATTGCATAACTGTAATCAGGGTTCACATATGGACATTTAGATACTAGGGTTGTTTTTGGCATGATCATCCCTAAAGTGTTAATATATTGCATTACCGTCCACAGGGTTTCATATAAAGAAATTTAGATACTAGGAATTTTTGGTATAATCGTCCCTAAAGTGTCAATATATTGCATAACTATCCTCAGAGTTTTAAATATGGAAATTTGCAAATCAGGAATTTTTGCATAATGGTCCCTATTAATTGCCGATATAAAATGATATATATATATATATTTTTATATATATAAAAGCATTGGCCACGAGTTTAGAAAAATATAAACTCTCTATTAAATTTTAAAAATTTGAAAATAATACAAAATTAAATATTTAATACGATATTATTTGAAAAAATTATTTTTCTATAAATAGTGTTAGAACTTCCAATAGTGCTTTAGTCAACAAAGCTTCTCTGCCTATATACAAAATCAATTTAACACCTCTTATATTCAATAATTTTATTTTCATAAAGCATCACATTAGATACTCAAGTTTCCTTTCAATAATTTTGGAGGATATTTTGAATTTGAATTTTTTTTTTAAGAAAAATAAAAAGTTAATATTTAAATGATAATTTAATTTTTGTTCCTTTGCTATGCAGTCTCGGGATCACTTGTTCTTCGCGACTATTGGGAAGCAGCTACAATTGTGTTTTTATTCACGATTTCCGAATGGCTCGAGTCGAGGGCTAGCCATAAGGTTTGAAATAATTGAACAAGGACTTGTTACAGTTAAGGTAATTTTGTTGTATCTTAGGATGACATAACATATTGTTTCACATTACAATGTAGGCAACAGCTGTCATGACATCGCTAATTAGCGTGGTCCCACAACGAGCTGTCTTGGCCGATACCGGCGAGGAAGTTAGCGCTGATGAAATCAAATTAAACACTATTCTTGCCGTAAAACCTGGCGAAGTTATCCCGATCGATGGCGTAGTTGTCGAAGGCAATTGTGAAGTGGACGAGAAAATTCTTACCGGAGAATCATTTCCTGTGGCTAAGGAAAAGGACTCGATTGTTTGGGCGAGCACGATTAATCTCAACGGTATGATTCTATGTGTTTCTATTCAATTTAGTTATGAGTTTGAAAATTATAATTTTTTTTTCATTTAAATAATAATTGGTATGATATTACGCCGAAAATTATAGAATCTAAAAATAGTACAAAATTAAATAAAAACTCACAAGTAAGGCACTATTTTATGAAAAAATTATACTCCCTCCGTCCACTTTAAAGGTTTACATTTATTTTTTGCTAGTTGATTTTTGAACATTAATTATTATATTAAAAATAGTACAAATTTAATAAACAAGATAAAAATTTATACAAATATAATTATAGTTTTAATATTAAGTAATGTGGCAAAAAGTAAATACAAACTTTCAAATTGAACGAGGGACTGTAATATAATATTTTATTAAAAAAAATAATTTTGATTAATAATTTCAAAGAAATTAAAATTCATGTTTATATTTTCATTTTAGCAATGATATAACTAAATTTCGTCACCGGTCCACATGTTTTTCCAGGTTACATAAGCATCAAAACAACAGCCGTGGCTGAGGATTGTGTCGTCGCTAGAATGGTAAAAATTGTCGAAGAGGCTCACAACAATAAGTCTCGAACTCAAAGATTTATCGACAAATGCGCGAACTATTACACACCAGGTCATCCCGAGTTGTTACCTTAAAAATTCGAACATCATATGTCATTATTACATGCATGAAATCGAAGTTTTTGATCAAATTCTTGCAGCTATTGTGATAATATCGGCTTGTTTGGCCGTTGTTCCTCTCGCATTTCGATTGCAAGAAAAGAAAGAATGGTACCATTTGGCGCTCGTCGTCTTAGTGAGCGGGTGCCCGTGCGCGCTCCTTCTCTCGACACCTGTTGCCATGTTTTGTGCAATGTCGAAAGCCGCTACGCTCGGCGTTCTATTCAAAGGCGCCGAGCATCTCGAGAATCTAGCGCGTGTAAAGATCATGGCCTTCGATAAAACAGGGACGGTAACGAGGGGAGAATTTGCGGTCGTCGATTTCAAGTCTCTCCGAGACGATATGATCGCAACGGATACACTACTATATTGGTACTATGTTTCATTTTTGATGCATTTATACTACAATTGCGCTAGAGCTGTAAACGAGCCAAACTGAGCCGAACTGTCATGTTTGAGTTCGGCTCGTATTCGTTTGTTAAGAAATATGAGCTGAAATTTTTGTTTGAGTTCGACTCAGCTCATTAAGAAATTTTTTTTTACTTTATTGTATTTTATTAAAAAATATTATTATTTTTATTTTAATAAATATTGTTTAACGTTCGCGAACAAGCTCGAGCTTGTTCGTGAACATAACAGCTAAAATTTATGTTTGTGTTTAGCTCGTTTAGAATGAGTCTTAACAAGCTCAAATGAGCCAAACCGAACGAAGTTTGTGAACTGTTTGTTTTGTTTTCCAGCTCTACATTATGCAAAATGCATCGAACAATAATTCTAACAGTTCCTTCGACGTGCTTATATTTCAGGATTTCGAGCATTGAAAGCAAATCAAGCCACCCGATGGCAGCTGCATTGGTCGATCATGCAAGAGCCCACAAAGTCGAGCCAAAGCCCGAAAAAGTCGAGAACTTTCGCAACTTCCCGGGTGAAGGGATCTATGGAATAATCGAAGAGAATGACATATACATTGGAAACTCGAAAATAGCATCGAGAGCGGGGTGCACCGCCGGTTTGCTTCTCCTTAAACTTTTCTTTTATATCTTCTATACGAGCCGTGTATATATATATATATTGCTCATTGTGTATATATTTGTTCCCTGTAGTTCCCGAATTAGAAGGATGTGATATCGAAGGAAAATCCGTTGGTTATGTCTTTTTGGGGCCATCTCCGGTCGGTGTGTTTTCCCTCTCCGATATGTGTCGCACCGGAGCCAAGGAAGCGCTCCAAGACCTCAAATCGTTGCGAATCAAAACCGTTATGCTAACGGGAGATTGCCGCGGAGCGGCCAACCGTGCTAAAGAGCAGGTAAACTCAAACTTTGAGATACAATTTACTTCCTCTATTAGGAAATATTATGTGGCTTTAGGTAAATAATACTACATTCGTCCGACTCTAAAGGTCTCATTTAATTTTTGCATGTTGATATTTGAATATTAATTATTATATCAAAATGTAATACAAATTAAGAAAAAATTGAAAAAAATACTTTCATTAATGTCTTATAATACTAATAGAAAGATATTTGTACAAAAATTATACAAATATAAGGATATTTTTAATGTTAAGTACAATAACACAAAAGATAAATTTGACTCTTAGAGGTCGACGGAGGACGGAGCGAGTAGTATTTAAATAAAAAGTAAAATGAAGGCATTCTAAAAAAGTAATTAAGCAATTAAGAAATTAGTATAGTAAAAAAAAATGACAAAATGATTATGATTTGTTAAAATAACAATAATAAATAAACACTATTTGTATGTATATGTGATATATAAATATATATTATGTATATATATGTGTTTATTATACTTATCTTTCAACCAAACTTATTATCAATTTTTTTTTAGTTGTCATTCGAACTTAATTTTTTTTGCCTTTTAAAATTTGTGTACGGTCAAATTAGCATAATTTTATACGAGGGAGAGAATATATATATTTATATATCACATATGTATACACATTGTGTATTGTACACAATTATATCAGAGGGAGCACATGAGCTGGGAGCAAAAGGGGCCGATGATCCCCTCCCAAATAAAATAATATTTATGTTAATTATTTGAAACTAATCGTTGTAACATTTCTTTTTCTTTTTTAATATCAGTTGGGCGATTCGTTGGATGTTATTCGGGCGGAGCTCCTACCCGAAGACAAAGCGAGCGTCGTGAAGGAGCTTCAGAAAGACGGCCCGACGGCCATGATCGGCGACGGCGTCAACGACGCTCCGGCACTGGCAACCGCCAACGTCGGGATCTCCATGGGCATATCGGGATCCGCTCTCGCCACGGAGTCCGGCAACATTGTCCTAATGACCAACGACATTCGGAGGATCGCAAAGGCGACTCGCATTGCAAGAAAAGCGAGGCGTAAGATCGTCGAGAATGTAATAATCTCCCTATCCACCAAGACCGCCATCATCGCCCTCGCCGTCGCCGGCCACCCCCTCGTTTGGGCGGCCGTGCTCGCCGACGTCGGGACGTGCTTGCTAGTGATATTCAACAGCATGTTGTTGCTTCGTGGGTCGGGCCTACGGGTCGGGCCCGCGAAGAAATGCTCGTCGCATTCCGACGCGCACAAAAAACGCGAGCACCGTCGTCATCATCATCATCATTCTCATAACTCCCCTTGTTCGGACATCGAATCCCATGGGAAGTGCGGGCCGGGATTGGGTTCGAATGGGCGATCTTGTGGCCCGCATAAGTGCTCAAGCCCGCGTAAAGATCACAACGCACATTGTTGTCCGGATAAGACAACTACAATTAAGACTAAACCCCATCCGTGTCACGACAGTACAAAAAACAATTGCAAGAATCACGAAAATGGTGACGAACATGGAAACCCGGATGCGCCGAGCGTCGACGCGGCCGGAAACCCGGAAATTTCGGGTTTTGGGAGCCAAACAAAGGGTTGTGGAGATGAAAGGTTGTTGGGATGTAAGAAGAGTGAGGAGTGTAGGGGTAGCAAAAAAGAATGTTGTGTTAGAAGTGGACATTTTGGGAGTGAAGGAGGATTCATCAAAGGAGGGCTGTCTGAAATTGTAATAGATTGAAATAATTTTGTGTCTTATCCCTAGTATTTTTATGTAAAACATGTTTCAAATACCATTAGTTTTTTTGGATTTCTTTTATAAAGTAATAATTTGATGGCATTTGATTTCACCAATCAGTATATATAATAAAAGTATACAATATATATTTATATAGCTTAATATATGTTGTGTGGTTTGTTATAACAAAATATAATATATTATATTTACTCCGTCATGTCATTTAAATCTATGTTCATTTTTTTTTTAGGTTTGTTGAATATAAAAAAAATAAAGTTAGGGTTTGAGCCCAAGAAGAATGAATGGATGAGCTCAGTAGCGATCCAATGGTGGGTCAAAGTCATTCGGTCGAATGGATATTGGGGTCAGGTTGGTCGGACGGTTGACTCTACGGATAGTTTTCATTCGAGTTTATACCTTGGAGCGGTTGGTTGGTTACAAAAATAACCGACGAGAAAACAGGATTTGGACGGTTTAAAAAAAACGTGGAACTACTTTTTTGACGATTCAGAACCAACGTGAAAGTAGTTTCTGGACGGTTCAGAACTAACGTGGAAGTAGTTTTTGGATGGTTCAGAACCGACGTTGAAGCAGTTTTTGGGCGGTTAAAAGGTAACCAACATGGAAACAGTTTTTTTACGATTACCGGTGTGGAAGCGGTTTTTTGGGCTGTTCAAGGGTAACCGACATGAAAATAGTTCTGGACGGTTTAGTTTGATATGTATATAAGCAGCCTCAGCGAGAGAGAACAGACATTTTCAATCAGACAAAATTTAGAGAAATTCTCATATTATTTTATTTTTTCATTTTTTTTTTTTAGCAATATTATGCATGTAGGGATCTGTGATCTCAGACCCTCTTCATTTAAATTTGAAATATATTTTCGAGTTTTACTTTTTATTGTTGAACTTTTAATATCAACAAAGTTATTATAAATTTTTCTTTTATTTGTTTTTAGAAAGAAAGTACATTACTTTTTGATTTGATATATTTTTATTAAAAATCGTGTCAAATATTTGAACGAATGACGTATGAACGCTATTTAATAATTTCTATAACTCAGAACCTAAACCCGGCCCGCACTATTTATTCGACGGCATGTTGTTGCTTCGTGGGACGGGCTCGCGACCCACGAAAGAAATGCTAGACGCTCACAAAAAACACGAGCACCGTCATCATCATCATCATTCCCATAACTTCTCGTGTTCGGACATCGAATCCCACGGAAAGTGCGGGCCGGGTTTGGGTTTGCTCCATTTATATTTTAAATATTTTGATATTTATTTATTTATAAATATTGTATCTAGAGGTTATATTTCATCTAAAAGTTTACATTCAAGAATTATTTTACACTTAAAAAAAAATAATATCTTTGTAAGAATTATTTTACACTTAAAAAAAAATAATATCTTTGTAATGAAATTATGTTCCTAAAGTTCACGTACCCAACGTAATTACATTACTAATTTCTTCTCTAATACATTAGTAACGAAAAAAGTGAATTTATGTAGAAAAAAATTTCATTACAAATTTGATATTTTCTTATAGTGTTAGCAAAAAATATTAATAAAATAGTAAAATATTTGGTACTCTTTTTTTTTTAATTTTAGTTTGTCTATTTGAAAGTGACTTAAATTTAATACTATTTTTTTCCTATAAAATTAACATCATTTGTATTTTCTATCATTACAGTTAACACTAAAAATATTTTTATATTTGTATAATTTACTCTGTAAATATCATAGGTATTTTTGTCATTTTAAAAAATTAATATGTAAAAAGCTGATGATACTTCACACCCTATAAATTTCTTTACTATTTGTCATAGTATTTCTTTACTATTTGAACAGTTTCTTACCGAATAAAATAAAAATAAATAAAAAATATCATAGTGATTTTCATTTAGGGTGTGTTTGTTTGGGAATTTGGATTTTGAGTTGGGATTTAAATAGTAAAAATTTTGAATTTGAATAGTTGTATGATATGATATAAATAGGTGTTAGATGTGATGTTTTGAATGTAAAATTGATTTTTAATATAATATAAAAAATAAAAAATAGATGTTTACTTTTATATTTTTTAGGGAAAAAAATGGAATAAATAGTGAATTTAAAATCCAATCCCCAAAACAAACACACCCTTAATTTTCTTATTATTATTTTTTAAAATATTTATCAAATAAGCACACAATAACGCCCACATGTTTAGACAATGATTGACTGTTTGGCTATATTGGTTTCAAAATATTGGATCCAAAAAAAGTTTGTCATTAATTATATATTACTCCCTCTATTGTGCAAATATTTGTTCATTTGATCATACACAAATTTTAATAAAAATAAATAATAATAATAAATTTTTTTATAATAAAAAATGTACAAAAATATAATAATTTTTTACTTAAAAAGATAATGAAAATATTTTTCCATGATAACAAAACAAAAAAAAAAAAAAAAAAACATAAATTTGATAGATAAAAGGAAGAGTATATGTATAGTAAGGGCAGGTACTATTTATTTTAGATATGAATTTTATTGCACTCAAACTGTAAGAATTTTACTTTCTTATAACCCCATCATTAGACGCAGACTCCCCTAATTAATTACATAACCCACTTGTGTCTGTTTTGAGGATTTTTAAAAAAATTTAATCTACTATTAGTAATCATATTTTTTTTCTCAAAATAATATTAAATATTGTAAATAAATAATTTCAAAAGTACATATGTAAATAAAATTTTGTTTTGCAATTATAATTTTTTTTTTTTTTTTTTTATGATGTGAGAACCCGCAGCCGCTGCCCGAAAGCGATGCGTTGAGTAATTTATAAATAGGTTGTAATTTATGTCCCAATTCATGGTATAAATATTAACGAATAATATGTGCCGACCAAGCATTTCCCATAAATGGGAAGTAATTAATGGGGGGCCATCACAATGGCCTCTACTTTTATGCTCAAAAAAGTAACATCATGGGTGGCAAAATGCAGGATCAAATCCCGACAATTACAGTAAGAAAGTTTCGTGTTTTAATATTGAGAAAGTTATTTGTGTATATTTGTTTGTGTGTGATTTGAAATTAATTTAAAATAAAATATTAATTTAAATTTTTGTTTAAATAGTATTTTGATATAATATATTTTTTTAAAAAAAATTAATACTATATTTTTATTGACAATTATGTATGATAAATAGTGTTAGATTTTGATAATGAGCCACTATGACTAGAGGCGGAACCACATTAGGGTAAGGGAAGCTCCAGCCCCCCTGTCCGGGGCCCGTCCCCTTTATTTTATTTAAATATATTTTTAATTTTTTTTTATTATTAAATATGTATGTATTTGTATATTAAAAATATTTAAATTACATAAAGAATAATACTAAAAAACAATTAAGTATGTTTATTCCTAATATTTTAATTTTATATAAATTTTTAAAAATATCATAAGATAATACACTATATATAACAAAAGTTAAATACATTTGTAGTTGTGATAATAAGATATTTTTAATAATTTTTTAAATATTTTTTTTTTAAAAAAAATAAAAATAAACAAAAATAAAAATAAATATACAATATTTATTTTTTATTGCTTTATTTATTATTATTATTGTCAAATATATCAACTTAAAAAATACAACATTAAAATATATATTTTTAATCGTATTATTTTAAAAAATTTAATAAGTAGCCCCTTCATCGGTCTCTAGTTCCGCCTCTGACTATGACTAACTCTTTATTATATATCCTCGAATTCATGAATTGCTGAGTCACTATGATTAATTTTTTATTATGCTATCGGGCCGGGATGTAGGGTGGTAAGGGAATTTCGTCTTTACATTGTGAAAATTTTATATTTAAGCATTTAGTAGATTCTTTGTGTACATTGACTTATTGTTCTCCAACTCATAAATTGTTGAGTCACCGTGATTGATCCTTCTATGATTTGGTCAGGCCGGAATGTAGGACTCTGAGTGTAATATTTCTGGGTTGGGCCGATGCTAAATCACTCTTGTGGATGAGTTCGTGCTATGTCATTCGAGATTAAATAAAGATTAAGTAAATTGAAAAGGCTATTAATGTAAACAATGTGTATATTCCTTTTCGGAAGCTCGAATGAGAACATAAACTCACTGACCTATGGAACCAGTCTACGTCTCGACACGCTTAGCTCTGCGTGACTTGCGGGCCGGGATGTTACACTAATGGGGAGCGAATTTTGCCTTTACACAAAACAAAGTGAAGCAAATATCACTTTAATTATTAAAAGTCTACCCAAATTGCAATTTTTAGTAATTGTAGGCTTGTTTTTTTTTTTTTTTTTTTTTTTCTCTATGAAATCTCATCCATCCTTACATTATTCTCTCACTCTATCTATATATTCATCTTTCTCACTCACACACATTCTCACTCTATCTATCTCTCTCTCTCTCTCTATATATATATATATATATATATACACACACATGTGTTCTTGTAACTTCAAATATTGCATGCATAATTGCCTCCAAAGGAACTCCCATGGATAGGTGTAGAGTGGATATTGCAGCCAAGGATGACTTGCCGGCGAGCGAGCAAACAAGTACCCGAATATTTCATGTTTAGCATTCGGCAAGTTGTCTTTGGCTACATTTGGCTCTGGCCCTTTTCATGAGAGACTTCGCAGCAAACAAATATGTATATATATATATATATTTTTTGGTGTTTCGATCAAATAATCAGGTTAGTGATTATATATATTCTAAAGTTAATAATGCTCAATATTAGTTCATCACCATGTTGCATTTAATTTTCTTTTAATATTCGACATTGTTGATTTGGTGAAAAAAGAAATTAATTACCATGATGCATAAAGTTTTGGATTGAAAATTTAACGATATTTTGTATGTATGGATAATTATAATATATATACGTTTTTTAAATGTGAATGTCGTTGAAAAAAAAAAAAGAAAGAAAGAAAATCAAATATCCATATTCAAGAATTTTTATTTTTATTTTTTTTTCAAATAATAATGATGGATTACACATAATTAAGGATGAATAAAGTAGAAACATT